CAACTTGAGGGGGAGTGTAGAGAAGATGGGTCGAATGGCCCATAGGTTGTAGGTTGTTTATTCTTTCTTGTTATTTATGTTTCTTTTTTGTAATGGGCCTTATTCTGGGCCCATCCTGTCAATACTAAGTTCTTTGTAAATTCTTGCCCAACTAAGGGCCTCCTTGTAATTATTCAAATATATCTAATAAAACAGTGTTAGGGGGTTGAGAGAGCAAGTGCTCGAAATCCTCTTCTCAGACCCTCATTGCCGAACCCTCAACTCTCTTCTCTTCAGTTTTCTTCAATGACTATACCCGTTTTTCTTGGGTTTACCTTATGCGTTCTCGAGATGAGGTTCCTGCTTTGATCTAGATCTTTCATCAAATGATTTTAACCTAATTTGGGGTCAAAATCAAAATCTTCATATCCGATAATGTGAAAGAATACTTTGCCAATCAATTAGCCTCTTATTTGCTTGACCATGGGATTATCCACCAAAGTACTTGTCCTCATACATCATAGCATAATGGTTGCTGAGAGGAAGAATAGACACATATTGGAGGTGGCCAGATGCATCATGTTTAACTCCAATGTGCCTATTCATTTATGGGAAGATGCTATTCTTACAATAGTGTATCTCATCAACCGAGTTCCTTCATGGGTTCTTGATATGAGGCCTCCATTTACCATCCTATACCCTGATAAAGACTTGTTTATTGTTCCCCTTAAAACCTTTGGTTGTACTTGCTTTGTTTAGATTCTTGGACCTCATCGTTCGAAATTTGATCCTAAGGCCTCCAAATGTATTTTTCTCGGTTATGCACAAACTCAAAAGGGATATTGTTGCTATGAACCCACTTCTGGGAGAAGATTTGTCTCTATGGATGTCACTTTCTTTGAGGATGTACCCTATTATCTTAGGGTCAGGGGGAAAGTAGTGAGTGTGGGGTTAACTCATTAGAAGTTCCTTTACCTGTTGCATTGAGTGATGAGGGATGTAATGGGGAGGGGTGTCAGAGGTGTTGGGATTTGAGAGTCTATCACAGGCGGTGAAGGCAGGTTGATTTAGGTCATCAGCAGTCCAGGCCAGCCCTAGTTCCTTCTGCGGATCCAAATACTATAGTTCCTTTATCAGATCCGGTTTCCACTGAGATACCTTCCATTGTGGAGCCCTTACCTCCTTTGGATTGTTAGACAGTTTTGTATGCCCTTAGCTTCAATCAGAATGATGTACTTTATGAGTTTATTGTAAATGAATAAAGATACATATTTGATTCA